TGCAAGATGAAAAATGAGCAGTGCATGAGGTTTGGATGCAAGCACACAGCACTTCACTCAGGAACATTAAAGTGGAACCAGAGAGGGGGGTGGGCGGAGGTGACTGGGGGAGATCCCTTTCTTCATTATGTGTGATGGGGTGGGAGGATGTCCTCATCACCCCATCTCTTTGAGGGACATTATTAGGCGCACGCTAAACGACCTGATGGGGAAATTTAATTAAAAAGAGAGGGAAACAGAGGGAAAATGGAGGCCAGGGCGGACAGTGTGGCAAAGCAGGGAGGGATGCAGGAGAGGCACATCCACACGAGGGTTCTGGAGGCTGCTGTCTGCAGCTTCACTGCTCATAAGAAAGGACAGGGAAGTCAGGTACACAAGGACAATCTGAGGCTGTGTGGGGGGAGGTGATGACAGGGGTTTGTCACATGATGTCTTCACTAGATATCAATGATAAGGGCATGAGCTGTCTGTGGGCCGAGTCGTCACCCTGCTGTCTTTTAGCAAGCGACTAACAAGACAGGACATTTCATAAAAATGAATCCCGCCCCCCTCCTCTTCAAAACATCTGACCTACACCCTTGTCCATTTAAACTTTTTCAAACAGGCTCCCCAACACTGACAGCTCAGCATGGCATGAATGAATTTATTATGAATTTGGGCCTGAATTTCATATTCAATTGCCAAAAAAAAAGTTTCTGGCAGAGAGCAAAGGAAAAATGCTACCCCCCCCAAACTATACCCGCTACTCCACAAGCAACCACCACATCCTCCCCCCTCCCACTCATGCAAACTCCAGCACACAGCAGTTTGGAGAGCAGCCGTCTCTGTCCAAACTCCTGCTGGCTTCCTGAGGAGAATTCTGCCCTCAAAGGTAACCATAAAATAATTGCGGGTTTGGAATCCGAGGCAAACACAAAGGGAGTCGAACTCCAACAAAGCTGTTTGCTAACCGATGCCTAAAAATAGCAGGCTCTTCATAAGGCTAAAGATTTATGTAGCACAGACCGCATCTATTAGCTTCTCTTTGAAGTGTCATCAAATATACATATGCAACTGATTTATTAATATAGTGTGGAAGCTGCTAACGCTATCTGTAACCTATTTAATTTACCTAATTACAAGGAAGCATATCTGCCTTTAAAAAGCGTGTAAAATGTGTGACACTGTGACATAAGTAGATTTTTAAGCATTGATGGGGAGCATCCTGTGTAGAAACCACCCGCGAGACAGCACCTCCTCTGTATAAATGCTGAAATTGAAACAATAAATGTCTGTGAGAGAGACAGAGAGGCACAGAGACAGAGAGAGAGAGAGACAGAGAGAGAGAGAGGAGGGAGAGAGAGGGAAGGAGGGAGAGAGACAGAGAGAGAGGGAGAGAGAGAAAGTACATAGAGGCTGGCTGCTGTCTACAGCTAATTTTCAGACAGACCCATAAGCACATATTCCTTGAGAAAGAGGCTGGCAGGGGTGTTTTCACCCCTCTATCCTGTGGGTGTCTCCTCCTTGCCTCCATTGCAAGCACCCCCCGTTATCCAGGGGGACCAACACTCTGTAACACAGTCAGAAATGCTGGATTTTTACCGGAGCAAGTGAGGAGAAACTCCTAACAGGAGTAAGATGCCCCTTCCATGTTTCAGAGTCTTGGACCTCAGGCTTGGGGTCCATTGCTGTGACCGTTACTCCACAGCAAATCACTTTCATTCCCTAAGGTGATGAACACAGTAACAGCACCACTTAACCCTAACCCTAACCCCTTCATTTTGTCAAAAAAAACCCAGTTCTGACACACATTTCAGCACCGTTGTCTTCCAGGGGATTTGTTTTTTATTAATTCGGAGAGGAAAGCGCTATGGGGCGTTTTTATTTCCAGACAGATAATAGGAGCTTAAGTGTAACGAGACTAATCTGTTTTGGGTTACACACTTCTGGTCGGAATAAGAGACATCCGAACATGGCGTAGCATGGATGAGCACACTGTAACATGTCAACATGCTGACACTGCCTGCACATGCTTGGCTGATTCTTCTTCTCTGCACTCTGGAAGTGAGGGAAAGTGTTTTTTTTGTTTAAATATAAGCTGCCTTTAACTCTCCATCGCCTCCTGAGTGTTTGTCCTTTTGACTGCTCTTTTTATTTCAGTCACCTAAGTGGTGATTTAAGGCTTGGGTTACAGTGGGGGTTTCTGTAGACATAGCGTGACTTGGCTGACGTCTTACACTTCCCTTGCTGTGGAGCTGTGGTCATATGTAGAGGATGGTTGGATAAGTGAACTGAGCTTTCACTCACTCACTCCCATGTTCCCTCTGTCATTCACTTACAAACCCATTCACTCACTAATTCACTCACTCGCCCACTTACTCATTCATTCACTTAATCTCTTTTACTCCCTAACTCATTCCATCATTCACTTACAAACTCACTCACTCTTTCACTCACTCACTCATCTACTCACTCATTCATTCTTCCTCACTCACATCCTCATGTGCACTAGTAATAGTTTTACAAACTTACTCACTTAGTTGCTCACTCTCATTCACTAATCCACTTGCTCATTCATTCACTATTTCTACTCACACTCTAATTCACTCATTCATTCATTCACTCATTGTCATGTCACATTCTCCTTATCAGAAGCAGAGAGCATAAATCGCACTGACTTCCTGGTATTCCAGGTATCAGTTTAAGAGCACTTTCTCCCTCTCTTTCTCTCTCTCTCTTTCCCTCTCTCTTTCTCTGTCTTTAACTTGCTCTCCCTCATACTCATACCTCTCTGGTTACACGCAGAGACCCGGAGCGAGGCAATGGTGGAGGTTATGAGCTCCTGCTATCTGGTGGAACGTGATCGGCGTCGCTGTAAGGCGATGAGTCTCTCCCAGGACCGTCGAAGAATAGGCCCACGTCACATGACACAGGCAATTTTCATACCTGTGGCGTTAGTAAAGGGGGCACCCGCTCTGAGGAACACATACGGCAGGGCCAGACGGAGCAACGCACTCCCGGGGCTGGGAGGAGAGGCAGACGCCCACATGCGAAATACGCCTTTGTTTCGGACACAGCACTTTGAAAGATGCTCCTCTTACAGTATCTCTGGGTATCGGTGCTGCTTTCATATTCAATGCCACGCTATTGGAGTGTGCAGCAAATTCGCTCTGTTTAAACTGATAACATGTGCCACCCTACAGAGGCCGGCGGGAGAAGGCTGAGCTATGCAGCACTGGTATCGGTGCAGACGTAGATGAGTCATGTCCGTTTGTCTGAAGCAGGCTCGGTGCCAGGAGGAAATACAGAGGGATGAAACTGCAATCCACGGAGGGGCACAAAACATCATAAACACCATATCTTAACAAGACGTAATAAATACTATGTAGACATGGGGATATAAGCAGGCAACTGGGGGTGCATTGAGGTCTGTCTGGGGGTGCAATGCACCCCTAAGCACCCCCATAGCACCGGCCCTGGTCTGAAGGGTCGCACTGCCATGTGGAAAACTCCATTAACGAGCGAGGATTTTGCCTTTGAACTTCGGAAACCTGCTTGATCTCACATAAATAAAGGAGGGTTGTGTTAGCATTATATTTGGGATCACAGAGTTCTTAAATTGTACATATTGCTTTGCACTTACAAGTTAATCTAAACGCACAACTGCGATCTCAGTGCTATGTTTAGCACTGATGCTCGTTCATGCATCATTAGCAGTTTCCTGTTTATGCAACTTTTCACGCCACTTTATTAGATTCACCGTGTGAGTCAATCTGGATAAGAGCATCTGCCAAATGACAACAAGGTAATGTAATGTATGTAATGGTTGTGTCACTGTGTGTGTCTCGTAACATACACAAACACCCCATACGAGGGGCGAGGGCTTTGCTTTTGCCCCCCTTTTTTTCAGGACATTTCAAGGCTGAGTGAAGGGCCTGTTTACTCAGTGATAATAAGAGCATTAGTTATGAAACTGTAAATCTAGCCCACAGTATGAAACTGTAGCACACAGTTTCGAAAGTGTAAATGTAGCCCACAGTATTTGGAAAGTGCTCAGAATGGTGAGACCAGGTGAGAGGAGATGAAAGCGACAGACGCTAAACCCCTCACCGGAAACTCTCTCTCTCCAGCCTCACCTCACCTCCAGCCCTTTGATAAAGACGACCCAGGAAACACAGCCATTAGGAACCCAGGCCCTGCTGAGGTTTAATGGCTTCTGCTCTCATTGTGCAGAAACGTGGGTGAAGCAGAGACACCCCCCCCGCCTCCCTGAGTGAGTCCCGTGGGGTGGGGGTTGGGGGTTTGGGGGGGCGGGCTCTGGGACCTCGCACCGGGCCCGTCTCTCCCTCACTGTAACTACGTGACAGAGGAATCAGAACCAGATGGGCGAGGCTGCAATGACAGGACTGTGACTGCAGAGAGGGCCATTAAGCACAGGAAGGCGGGGGGTGTGGAGGAGGCGCCCTCTCGGGCCTGCCGATAGACGAGGGGAAAATTGCAGGAATGGGATTATGGAAGATTACGGGGCAGTAGCCGGGCAGGACAGGATGCATCGGGGGGCAGGGAGGGTGGGGGCGCATTGGGGGGAGGAGGTGTTCATCCGGTGTTGCAGACTAAGGAGCTGCCACTGATGGCTGTGACTCCTTCCGTGGCAGATGCGGTGCGATGGAAGGGGTGAGGGGGAGAGGGGGAGAGGGGAAGGGGGAGCGGGGTGCTGCGATTAGGCACGGGACGTCCCGTGGCAGCCGCTGGCCTGTCTCCGAAAAGATGAAAGGGCAACATCTCGGCACATGAAAAACAGGGCCTCGCTGATGTCAGGGAATGGGAAGGTGGCGTAACTAAAGTACAGCATCGACATTTCAAAGTGCGCTCCAATCCAGAGCCTTCAGAGTCCGTCACTGTACGCCCGACCTATCAGCATGTCTTAACTCCCTCTGTGCTCAGAGGTGGCCGGACATCTCAAAACCGCAGCACCTGGGGCATTTGTCCTTGACACTTGGCGCTATATCTGCATCTTGGGCAGCAGTGTGGCATAGTGGTAAGGAGCATGGCTGGTAACCAAAGGAGTCGCAGGTTCGATTCCCTGCTGAGACACTGCTGTTGTGCCCTTAGGGAAGGTACTTACCAACAAATGCCTCAATAAATATCCAGCTGTATAAATGGATAAACCTAAAACCTGTTTAAGTCACTCTGGATAAGAGCGTCCCCTAAATGACATTAATGTAGCGTAATGCAATCTGGTGACCTGCACCAGGGGTCGTCTGGCGTTCTTCATCCCCCCCACTCGCGTTTCCGTGGGATGCTACACTCTGACGCACCAGCACAGTTTACACACCCACCCATAACACACTCCATCATCCGCCACAGTTCCTTGCACATCACCCAAACAGCAGAAGTGGAGCACTTCTGACTACATTAAACATTAATGCCCCTGCATCAACTCCCTTAGCCTTTGGAGTCAATACTCACATTTTTTTTCCTCTTTGTTTAAAATGCATAAATACACCTAGCGCAAAGAGGGACTCTGGGACTTTTCCTACCCATAAAATATTTGTCTGCAACTTTAAGTATCAGTAATTACTCCCATCCAAAAAGGCATTAAAAGAGGAAGAAGATGGATTATCATCTCACAGCGTGTTCATCCGAGAGTCATCTCTATTTACATCTATCTAAATAAACAAAATAAAAGATTTATCTGGCCTCAGAAACATTTACATTTAAATTTACGTTTTCTAAAACACACATTCATCAGAGTCCATGATTCATGAGGCCTTTTGATTTCATTTTTAACTGACTTAAACTGGACCCACACATATCAAGAATGAAGAATGCTGTATTTGGTGCTTGTCTGGCCTTTTCCCATCAGTCATTGGAGACCCCTTCACTGAGCTCTTCTGTTGAACTATACTCTTTTCAGGCATAAATAGATTTTGTCCCTCATCACGGATTGCATATCTACCTTCTTGGGCTAGGATTAGCATTGAGTTAACTGATCCTGGATCAGTTAGAGTGGGAGAAAATGTAGCCATGCAGTGGAATTATTGCCACATCGTGTGACTTTTCCAGCAGCTCAGCCAGTTAAATCTGCCTCTTTAAAAAATTTACCTAAAACAATAACTTTACACACACTCCAGAAACACTGAAGGGTTTAGGTGGGCATAACCTGGGCAGCAATATGGTGTAGTGGCAAAGAGCAGAGCTTGTAACCAGAACATTGCTGGTTTGATTCCCTGCTGTGGCACTACTGTTGTACCCTTGGGCAAGGTACATAATCCACAATTGCCTCAGTAAACATCCAGCTGTGTAAGTGGATAAAATTGTACCCTGTGGAAGTCGTTCTGGATAAAAGCGTCTGCTAAATGACAATAATGTAACGTAATGTTTACAGGATGCTGAATAAACGTTCTCTTAACGTTCTCCTCCCTGGGGCTTCACGTTGCAGCCAAAGCCTGCCCCCGCCGTGCGCTCCGAGTGCGTCCCTCAGCTGAGGCTGATCTCACAAAGCCTGACATATTTGTGTCTGACTGAACCTTTGTTTGGAGACCTTTTGATCCCCCCCCCCAACCGGTCTCCCCTAATGACCTTCTTCCAGGGGACGCTCTGTCACACTGAAGCTAAAAGCGCTCCGCTGCTCGTTGTTGGAGCGTTTCACAACGCGGCGGCTCTTGCAGCTAAAATGCCATGACGACCCAAGACGGCGATAGCGAACAGGCGCTAAATGGCAGCACGCTGGTCAGAACCCGGAGGGGCTGCCATTTTACGACAATCGTTTTCGACTAATTGTCGCTCTACTTCAAAAGGGCCCTTTCAGATTTCTTTTTTTTTACAATGCAATCGAACTGCAGTTCATCGATTATATATAAGGTAATAGTCATAATGATTTGAAAGCAATGGAATTAAAAAAAAAAATTTAAAAGTGCATTACCTTTCAGGCATAACCATCTCTCCACATAAGGTGTGGTGAGGCTTTCGGAAGCCCACCCCTGAGCTAACCCCTCCCTGTACAAGTCGGGGCTGTGACAATTGTGCTTAACCCACAATTGCCTCGGTAAATACCCAGCTGTATAAATGGATAAAAACTGTAAGTCACTCTGGGTATAAGTGTCTGCTAAAAGACAATAATGTAATGTAATGTGATGAAGGAGATGGAGGGAGTGGCCAATCTCGTTGCTAAGTAGGCCTCAGTCCATCAGAGCACGTGGTCATTGGCCTGCACAGCTATCCCAGAAACCCCCACAGGTCGTGTGCCCAAATTACACACATCGTTCGCACCTACCTGGAAATGTGGCAGTAGGAAGCTCTGTCACTTTGGGTTACAGTCAGCTGGACAGGAAAGATGTTTTTCACAGTGACTAAGCATTCACATTTGGTCTCTATTTTCTACTATTTACATATTTATTTTACAAAAATAACTTTGACCTCGCAATGCACTTACTGAATTGAATAATATTTTCACCAAACAATGTATAAACTAGTAGATGTAAATATTAGTTTATTCTCTTCTCCCAAACAATGCACTGCTTTTTTTGTGTTCAGAGAAAGCAAAGAAAGGCGGCCTCTCTGACCTCATGAAGCAATAAATGAACTGAATGATGTTTTCACAAAAACAACACAGAGCATATTTTCTATTTCAAAGCAATGCACTGCATGTTTCTGTGCTGATATTCAGAGATAACAAAGGAAGATAGCCTTTCTCAGAGCAATGTTTTTAAGATTTCTGCCCTCTGGAAAAATTAGAATTTCCATCACTTTCATAGCGTATTGCCATAATCACTGCATCACTCACATGTGCATAAGCCCGTGTGGTAATTATTACCTTCTGGAATGTTTTATATATAATTTTTTGTAGAAACCAAAACACCACAGTATTACCTCTCTCCCTCCACATTCTCCCCTGGATTTGATCAAACTTTTTTTTCCCTCTACTCTCAGGAAACAGTGTATGGAATAAAAGAGGAAGAGGTTCTAGAATTTCAAAATTGTTTTTTTTTTTTTTTGTCCCCAAAATCCTGCCCCTCCTCCTCCAGGAGGGAGAGAGTAGGGGGCTGTAATTACCCCCGTACAGAGAGGACCGTGTATCCGGTTACCCCTTTCAGAGGCAGCCGTCGCGAAGCCCCGGGTTCGAGCGGTAGCAGACGTCCTTGACGGAAACCTGGTGTCTAACCCATAACGTGACCCAGGGAGAGCTGGTTGTGATCAAGGTGCTGCAGAACGCAGAGCGTTTCAACCAGTGCGTCACACACTGCACTGCGCAAATAACCTGATGGGCCTTCACCGGCCCACCTACGTCTCTCTGTGCCTTTCTATTTGCGGACCTCTCCAAAAACACTGAATAGAAAATAATAACCGTATCAAAATAAATGAGTGAATTAATGAATACACAATCACACTGTAGGTCCTGTAGAGTGGACAGGGCCGGAGATCCTTCTGAAAGCTTCCCGCCAAAGACTTGACCACACGGCTAGACACGATATCGTGTTGCAGATACATAATATGGTAATCAAGTCTAGGTTTCTGTGCTTTTTCTGAATGCAGCGCAGTTACATCTGTAATCTGAATTATGCTATTTCTGCTTCATTTCAGAGTTCGCTGCCCAGGCTTTCTACCCTGCCAGCTCCCCCCCCCAAACACACACACACACACACACACACACAAATGCACGCACACACAAACGCACGCACACACACATGCACACGCGCGCACACACACACACACGCACGCACAAACACACTCATACACACACACACACACACACACACACACACACACACACACACACACACACACACACACACTCATACACACACGCACACTCACACACGCGCACGCACACACCCGTTCCAGCGCTTCATACAGGGTGAGATTTTGATGGATGTCCTCCAGATTTAAAGCCTTGGTGGAGCAGAGGATGGGGTACGATCTTAGAAATTGCCACCAAAAAAAAAACACATAACGCAAAGGGTACAGAGGCGTTCAAAATAAAGTCTGCAGCGTATTACTTTTCCCAGCTCTCCCTGCTCTTGCACAGATGGAGGACTGTAATCTTGGCTAGGCTCGGGAATCCCTGCACACCCTACAATCTTCCGGAGCCATAATTAGGCACACCAGGCAGAGAGGACTCTAAATCACTCAGGGTTGGTTTGGAGTTTTTTTTTGTATTTTATTTTAAATAAAGTGCAAGAGAAGTTCTATTAGGCCCCCTTTTTGAAGGCTAAATTATAACTCTGCTGAATCGTCTTTTGATATTTTATCAGAGTTTTGCTTTATTTCCATGCTCTTCTGAAAGTGCTTTTAGACAGAGGGGGGGGACTTGTTTTTTTCTTCTTCTTCTTCTTTTTATCCCCTGAACTGTGTCATTTGCAGTTCATACCATAATTAAGTTCACCAAACAAACGGGAAGCTATCCGCTCTCTAATTCCCAAATAGGGTTTGTGCTTTTAATAACCACGTGACACACTTTAAACACTGTTAACAAAGAAATAATTACAGAATGACTGGAGAAGCTGTTTACAGGGTATTGAGAGCCTGGCCCGGGTCTAGTCTCTTCCTCTGTCTTTGACTTTACCTCCGGTGCCTTAGAGGGAACTGCAAATTCAGACAGGCTGAGCTGGTATAATAAATAAATAATAAATGATAAATAATAAATAATTTTCACAGCATGGGTTTCTGGGAAGAACAGTTGGATTGGACAGCTGAAAGAGAAAGAAACAGTAAGAGAGAGAGGGTGAGAGAGAAAGACTTTGAGTTTTAACAAATCTTTATTTGGTCATTAACCAGAACAGTGGTAAAAAGAACCACCACATTGCATAAAAAAAGATAGTTCAGATAATGCATAACAAACCAAGGAATTTTTACTCCAGGGCAAGGACCGCATCGTTTATAGAGAAATAAATGACTACATTTATGAAATTAATATAATTATAATTTTTTTAATGAATACATTTCTTTGTAGTGATCGTAGTGTAGTTCAAATGTGTTGAAATGGTAATTTATTCTATCCCACACTTTCCCTGGATTTCTAAAGGTCCAGTTCAGAGAAAGAGAGAGAGAGAGAGAGAGAGAGACAGAGAGAGAGACAGAGAGAGAGAGACAGAGAGAGA